CTCCTTTCTCCATGCAAGACTGTCTCTATCGACTTTCTGCATTATGTAAGCAAGGTAGGTGGGGGAATTGTGATAGGCCTTCATAGATTCATTGTACTCTCTTTTCTGTTTCGTAGTCATTTAAATATTCTTGTTTCTCTTCATCAGTGAGAGCTTGCCACATGCCACCAATAATCTTGCCAATCTCCCAGTTTCGGGTCCGGGTTGGAAGTTATTACTTGGTCCCAGACCTTTCTGTTGTACCTCATGTAGGGCATCCGTGGCTTATCCAGTGGCTTTGGGGGTTTGGGAATCTAATACCAGAGGACGCTGTGACCTGGCTGTTGGTGCTGGGGTTCCCTCCCAGCCTGTAGTAGTTGTAGGTGGGATGACTGTATGGACTGTATCCCACAAGCCCTGGTGTGCTGGGCTGGGCTGGGAGGTGGAGCATAAGATGGTCTTTTTGACATTTTGGAAGACTAAGTTTTCAATTCCTTAAGAATGAATCTGAGGGGACCAGCAGGTGGCGTGGTGCTTAAGGCACTAGACGTTCCCATATGGCCAACCATGGTTCAAGTCCCAGACCTGGTGACTTACTTTCGCACTGTTCTTCTCTCTCTCTGGTCATATTAAAATAAATGAATGAATAAAAAAAAAAATGCTTGTTAAAAAAATAAAAAGAATGACACACCACGGGCAGCTTAAATGCCCACAGCTCCGGCTTGGCTTCCTTCTGTCCCACGCATGCCCCTGGCGTGATTTTTCAAACCACTGGATCCAGGACTCGAACTACAGCAAGCCATGTGGGTTCCAGCAATGGAACTGCTACACCATCTGCTGGTCCCAGCAGTAACATTTTGAAAGCAAAGGGGAGCCAAGTAATACAGTCACTGAATTCAATTAGTAAGAATTAAATCTTACTTAGGCTTCCAATTTCAACTTGTTTGACTGCTTTTTGACCGTCAGAGAGCAGGTACACTTGTCAAGAGAAAGACAGAGAGGGAGAGGAAGGAAGCACCTCTCCATTCCCCCTAGGGGCTTGGTCAAGTAAAAAATCTCTTCATTTCTCCATCCTGTTGTGACTTGGGGCATGTAAATACATGTGTCCAGAACGCTTTTCCCAACCTGTGAGGTCTACATTCAAACCACAGTCAGCCATTTGGGATCCAGCTCCCTTAACCACTAGACAATGGGGCTGATCCCAATTTCAGAAATGTTTTAAAGTTTCTTTCACAAGTTAGACAGAAAGACAGCATCTCTAGAAGAGTCCTGACAATGTTATCTACCCTCAGCTTCAGCCAGCCCTGGACCATGGAGGCACACTTGCCAGGAATTCAGTGCCCAGAATGAAACAGACTGGAGAAAGAGGATCATGGCATGACCAGATCCTATGGAGGGTGCTCATATCTCTTTCTGTGAGCACACACATGCTCTATCATGAAAAAAAAAAAAAGTCATTGAGGGTTTTCAATTTTTTTCAATAATTTATTTAAATACAGGAGTTTTTCATTCTCTATTTTTGCAACTTCATAATCACTTAAAGACCTCATTATTTCAAAGTTAAAAATAAAAAAGGAGGGCTGGCAGGTGGCATGGTAGTTAGGGTGCTGTACTCCCAGACGGCCGACTGTGGTTCAAGTTCTGGACCTGGCAGCTTGCTTTTTCTTCCCCTTTATCTCTCTCTGGTCAAATTAAAGATAATAATAATTCTTTAAAAAATATAAAAAGGAAACTAGGATTTCCAAATATGAATAATCAAGTCAAAGATTTTGTACTGTGCACTGTTTCTAAATTTAAAATGATTGTGCTGTTGAACTCTTAAGAGCAGAATCCAGAAAGGCAAACAAAAAGAGGAAAATGCATGCAAGAACTGCAGTTTTTGTTTTCTCCCTATAAACAAGAAACAGCACCTACAACAGGATTTTGATACCACGATTCAATTCCATCCATAGCCCTGGTCCATGGGCAGGCACATATCCGGCATATACAAGATCTCTGGAGGTGAACCTGAAGCCTCCCATGTGGTCACCCTCATAGGGCATTGTGCCACTGTCAGGCTATTTTTTTTTTTTTTTTAAGAGAGATTTTTGCTATATGGCACATGAGCTCACCAAAAGACAGAGACAGGGAGAAAGTAAGAAATCATCCACCAAGGGGTATGGCCATACTGCAATCCCTTCTCCTCCATTCTCCTCTCAGGATTTTTGGTGCCTGGCATGAGTTTCAAGCCACCAATCTGGGCGTGAATCCAGTCTGCCTTGTGGGAGTCCAATGCCTTAACCACACCACCTGCTACCCCACCCCAAATTCTTTTTATTTTAATTTACCAGAGGGTATATGGGCTCATCAGAGAGGGGGAGAGGGAGAAAACACCCTTCCATGGGTGGGACTGGTCACACAGCAATCCCTTCTCCATCCCTCTCTGGCTTTGGGATTTTGGTTCCCCGACACCTGCACACCACTAGTATCAGGACTCGGACCACACAGTTGGCCATGTGGGATCCAGTTCCCTTAACCACACAGTCTGTACAGGCTGACCCTGCAGATCTTTTAAGACAAGCTTTCCTTAGGGCAGCAGTGGCTGATGGTCAAGGTGTTAGACTCCCACATAACTAGCTGCAGCTTGAGTCCCGGACCTGGCAGCTTGTTTTCTGACTCTCTAGTGTGTGTGCCCTATAGCAAATTTAATAATGAATAAAATTAAGTAACTCTTCCCTTGGTATCCATTGCCAAAACAAAAGAACCTAAAATATTCTTTTAAAGAACCAATTATCTTTTTAAATTTGCTATAGGGCAAGAGTGCTCACCAGAGACAGAGAGAAAGCAAACCGCAAGGTCCAGACTCAAGCCATTGTCAGTCACGTGGGAGTCCAGTGTCCTAAGCATCATGCCACCTCCTGGCCCCTTGTGTTTGTATGTTTAAATGAGCGATGACTTTAACAATTTAATCATAGAAACTTATTTGAAAAGAATCTAATTTCGTTTTTTTTTTTTTTTTGGAGAGATTTTCGCTATAGGGCGCGTGCACTCGCCAGACAGATAGAGACAGAAAGCGAGAAATCACCCCCCAGGGGGAACGGTCCCACCACCGCAGTCCCTTCTCCTCCATTCTCCTCTCGGGATCTTGGGCACGCACGCACATGTGCCCAGCGGGAGCTTTAAGCCACCGGGTCCGGGACGCGAACCGCGGTCAACTACGTGGGAGTCCAGCGACATAGCCATTAGGCTAACTGCTGGTTCCCAAAAAGAATCTAATTTCTGTACTAACTGCCTCAAAATAAAAACGCTCGTAGGAGGCCTTCTCTCACAGTAATGAAACTTTATTTTGGTATGTTATCAGTTTCTTTTGGGCTGTACTCCTCCCCCAAAACTTCACCAGGAGAGGGATTCTTCCAATGGGAACACAGCACAGTACCAATGATGAAAAAATAGTAATGTGTGTAAACAGTAAAAAACTAACATGGGGCCAACCTGGTGATGCAGTGGTTATGGAGGCTGAATCCCACATGACTGATTTAAGAAGTTTGACTCACCGACCCAGAGGCTTGAAAAACATGCTGAGTGCATGTGTCCCCAAAACCTCAAGAGAATGGAGAAGGGACTGCGGCATGGCCAGCCCTCTTGAGGGTGTAATTTCTCACTTTCTCTCAGGTCAGCACACAGGCCATTCAACAAAATGGGGGGTGGGGGGAACTGTGGAGAAAAAAGTGATCGTGAACTTTTCCCTAAAACTTCTAGAAAAAGCACACCTGAGGGACCAGCAGATGGCAGGTATGTCGCTAGACTCCCACATAGTCAACCCTAGTTCGAGTCCTAGACCTGGCAACTTAAAATTCACACCAGGCGTATGTATGTGTATGCCCAAGATCCCAAGAGGAGAATAGAAGGGACTGTGGCATGACCATCCCCCCTGGAGGGTGATTTCTCGCTTTCTGTCTCTATCTCTCCGGTGAGAGCACACGCCCTATAGCAAAAATCTCTCCACATTAAAAAAAGAAAGAAAAAGCACACCTGGGCTGTCTCAGCAGTGTAGTGGTAATACTGCTTAAGTGAAGCTGGATCTACATGGAAGATTCTGGGTTTGGATCTCCTGTTGACCTGTACAAGCCAGGCATAGTGCGTCCCTTATCTTGGCTGGCTGGGAAGGCTTACGGGGAAATTCTGGCGTGAGATCCTGCTGAGGTTACTTGTTTATCTCAGTCTTTCATGCTCATGAAAGAAATAGTTTAAAAACAAACAAAAAAGCACACCATATTCTAATATAACATGAAAACATTTCAAATTTTTTAATTTAGCATTTGATGCTAAATAGGGAATTCAGTCATTTTTCTTTGCAACTGGTATACTTGCAACTACAAAACAAAGGAAATAAAAGTTGATGAGTCATGGAAAGTTCCATCCCAAAGGAGTAAACTTGGTTTAAAAAAAAGAAAAGGAAGTAAATGTAGCAGGGCCTGACAAGAAACAGTTCCCATTTTAAAATATTTAAAAGCGTCCCCATCCCATTTCACAACCCACCAATGTCACCAAAAGGGAGTGTCCATTCACCATTGCTCAATCAAGATGGTGTCATCTGGACCGGCCAGCGACAGCTTGTTTTGCAACGACTCTTACTTTGGCACTCCATGAGCACAACCCGAAGGACCATGACACAGTACATTAAATATTGGGAAGAAAATGAGCACTGAGTTCTGACCAACTGCACATTTTGTTTTTCAAGCTCTGCTTCTAGTCTTCTTTATCAGCAACTTTGGGGCTACAAGATTAAGTATTGGGGCCAGCAGGTGGCACAGTGGTTAGGGGCCCTGGACTCCCACACAGCCAATCACGGTTCGAGTTACAGACCTGATGGCTTGCTTTCTCACTTTCCCTCCCTCTCTTTGTCTCTCTCTCTCGCTCTGTCCCTCTCTGGTCAGATTAAAATAAAGTTAAATAATTCTTTTTAAAAAATTAATAATTTATTTTTTAAAAAATGATTGGGTATTAAGACGACAGCATTAATAAGACAAGGAGAACCAAAATTACACACATAAAATAAGACATTTATTATGCTAAAGACCAGATTTTATTTTTCCATTTCCCAAAACCTAAAATAGCACACAGCATAGTAATTTACACATAATATAAACTGATATATGCAATCAATATTCCCAAAATGGTGGCTTTAAATTTCACTTTGGGAGTCCTTAAAAACTTACACTCTTAAATGACCTTTATTAAAGTTATCAACAAACAACAAAAGGAGTTAATTACCTCAGAAAAATCTTCATGTAAAAGATATCTCAACTCCTTCAGCCTGGAAATTCTTATGAGAGAAATACTTGATTTGCTTCTCTAAAACTGAGCTATATCAAATAGTCTCGTTTCCTTTCATTTAAGGTAATAACACTGCAGGGTTCCTAGTTTGAGAAGACTATTCTAAAGGTAAGTTTAATATTGCAACTTGCACCGTAGGGCCTCCATTTAAATTGCATTTCAAGTGGAAGGAAAGGGGTGTGTGAGAAATCAAATTTTGCTGCAGACCAAAATTATTCTACAAAATGCAGAAATGGTAACAGCTTATCATGAACTCAGCAAGGCTTAATAAAAGTACAGCGGGGCAGACTTTACAAATATCCACTTCCATTTGGTGATCAGAGAGTAGCTAAAGAGACAGTATCCGGGACAGTAGCCCTTCCAAATGGGTACTGAGATAAATAACTTCATGTTACATTATGTTTCAATCTGATATTTATACAAGATATATCAACATTCTCCTGAAATGGCTGCCCAATTTTCAGCTTCTTTCAAACACAATTTAAAACATGCTCAAAAATTTTCTTCCGCATCATTCAGCACTTAGTGAGTTTAAACTTGATTTATTTTGTCTGCACAAACAGACCCAAGCAAGAACTTAGACTGTTTGTATTAAGACTTCATGCGACAGAAATCATTTTGAGACAATTTTTAAAATCCATCTCACTATCTTTATTGTTCTGCTGGTACCTTAACTATGGCATAACGGATCTGCTAATTCAAAAGTCATAGAGTCAGTAACCCCAGTGTTACCTGCAGACCATTTGAGATGCTTTTTACACTCGAAAGCATTTTCTTGTATTCTACTGTTGGTTCTAAAAACATGGGCTTTAAATGGTCAAGGAAAATATGTTTTGTCTCATGATTCAGGAGTACTTGAGGACATGCATGCAGCATTGCAAAAAGGACTGAACGCAGGCAAGATGGTACCAACACAGAGACTAGCCCTGCAGGAAATGCACTTGGTGGTTCATCTTTAAAAATCCCCATTTCCAACAGTTTTTGATGGCATGGCAGTCCTGATACCTGAGGCTCTCCCTTAGGACAGTGTCCTTTGTGGTTGTCCGTGGCCATGGACTCTTTTTCCAGCCAGTCCCTCTCCAGATCTTCCCTGGCACCACAGAGTAGCCCAGCAAAATGATCTTCTGCAGGGACAGAGAGCAGACCTGGAGACTTGCTCAGAACAGCTGCTGAAGCTAAATTTTTTTTTACTGATTCTTTCAAATATGGAAACACTTTGTGGCCATCATGAAGTGAGAGGTCAGCCTCACTCAGATCATTTTTCATTTCCAAAAATGCCTCATTGTGTGAATTTCCATTTACATCAACAGCAAGCTGATTGATCCAGGAAGGCATATCTGCTGGATGAGGATTCTCTTCTTGTGTTCTTTTCTTAAGGCTATATAGGAGTAGGTCCGAGTCATCTCCTCCTCCTCCCTTCACTCTTGCGAGACAGGTGCCCAGAGTCTCTCTTGAATCCCTCATGCTTTGTGCTCTCTGATGCGCTGAGCCCGAGGCCACACCTTAGTCAGTCAGGCGAAAGCCTTCAATGGATTTCAATATGAACCTGGAAAAGATCATCAAAATACAACATGACAATAAAGGCAGAGGGTCGTAAGAACATCTACACACATCAAATATTTCCTAATGAATGCTAAGATCTCTAACCATCTCTGGTACCAATGGGTAATAGAAAACAGGATGATAATCTGCCTGTTAGTGATCCTAATAAACAGAAGAGTGCTTTATTACTACAGTATTCCCTAAAATATACTTAACAGTAAGAAAAACAAATCCTGGGGCCAGCAGGTGGTGCAGTGCTTAAGGGCACTGGACTCCTACATGGCCAACTGTGGTTCGAGTCCGGACCTGGCAGCTTACTTTCTCACTTTCTCACTCTCTCTTGCTCTCGCTTGTTCTCTCTTGCTCTGTCCCCCTCTGGTCAAATTAAAATAAATCAATAAAGGGCTGGCAGAGGGAACCAGCAGTTAGCGTAATGGCTATGTCACTGAATTCCCACATAGTCGACCATGGTTCTCGTCCCAGACCCAGTGGCTCAAAACTCACGCCAGGCGCGTGTGCATGCGTGCCCAAGATCCCGAGAGGAGAATGGAGGAGAAGGGATTGCGGTGTGACCATCCCCCCTGGGGGGTGATTTCTCACTTTCTGTCTCTATGTCTCTGTCTGTCTGGCGAGCGCACATGCCCTATAGCAAAAAATCTCTCCAAAAAAAAAGAAAAAAAAAGATTAAAAAATAAAATAAAATAAAGGGCTGGCAGATGGCATGGTGGTTAAAAGTGGTGGATTGCCACATGGCCAACTGTGGTTCGAGACCCGCACCTGGCGGCTCGCTTTCTCACTTTCCCTTTCTATCTCAGGTCAAGTTAAAAATAGTAACAAATGGAATTAATTTTTTTTTAGAAGTTTTTGCTGTAGGGTGTGTGTGCTTGTCAGAAAGAGACAGACAGAGAGCCAGAAATCACCCTCCAAGGGGGATGGCCATTCCGCAATCCCTTCTCCTCCAATCTCCTCTCGGGATTTTGGGCACGCACGCACAAGCGCCTGGCGTGAGTTTAAGCCACCAGGTCCAAGACATGAACCATTGTTGACTACATGGGAGTCCAGTGACATGGCCATTACGCTATCTGCTGGTCCCTGGAATTAAATATTAAAAAAAAAAAAAAAAAAAACACTTTATCCCTTTTTTTCTCAGTCTCTCATTCTGTCCCTCTTTGGTCAAATTCAAATAAATAAATAAAGTTAAATTTAAAAATAATTATTAAAAAAAGATATTTAAAAGGGGTGATTTCTCGCTTTCTGTCTCTCTCTCTCTCTCTGGTGAGCACACGCTATCCCTATAGCAAAACATCTCTCTCTGAAGAAAAAGAAAGAAAGAAAATTTAGAGCCTCAATAAGAAAAGACTTCACTAGAACTGGTAGGTACTACAGGTAAAAACATGGAGAAAGTTTCTTGTGGGGCCAGTCCCATGGTTTAGTGGTTAAGAGAACCAGATGTCATGGCTGACCATGGTTTGAATACCGGCCTCAGCAGTTTGAAAAACATGCTGTTCTAGGGACCAGCAGGTAGCATGGTGGTTAAAGCACTGGACATTCCCACATGGTTGACTAGGGTTCAAGTCCTAGACCTAGTGGCTTGCTTTATTTATTTATTTATTTTCACTTGATCAGAGAGGGACAGAGTGAGGGAGGTGAGATAGCAAGCCACCAGGTCCAGGACTCAAACCATAGTCGGTCATGTGGGAGCCCAGAGCCCTTAACCACCGCACCACCTGCCACTCCCCATTAAATAACTCTTTTAAAGACAGACAGACAGAAAGAAAGAAAGAAAAACATGCTGGTCAAGTATGCACACATGCCCAAACATGCCCGAATTCTCACAGACTGAAGAAATGGAAGAGAAGGGACTGCAGTATAACAATGCCCACTGCTGGGGGAGTGGGGGGTGGGGAAGTGTTCTCACTCTCTCTCTCTCCCCTCTTCTCTCTCTCACACACGCAAATGTACCTTCTGGCAATGAAAAAAAAAATTATATGCTAGCTCTGCCTGGTGGTTGAGAGAGCTGGATTCCGTATGTGACTGTGTGGTTCACATCCTAGCCCAGGTGACATAGAAAATGTGCCAGGCATGTGTGTGTGCATGCCCCAGGCCCGCACAGGTTGCACAGATAGAAGAGACTGCAGTTTGACCACGCCCTATTGGGGGTGCTTTCTCACTCCCGCTCATCTCTGATGAGCTTGGGTACTCTCTGGGAAATTATAGGGGAAAAAATAGTGGGGCCAGCAGGTGGCGTGGTGGTTAAAGCAATGGACTTTCACATGGCTGAATGCAGTTTCAATCCTAGACCTGGCAACTCAAAAATTATGCCAGAAATGTGTGCATGTGTGTCTAAAATTCTAGGAGGAAAATGAAGGAGAAGAGATTGTGGTGTTGCCATCCCCTCTGTGGGGGTGTGAGGGTGATTTCTCACTTTTCCTCTCTCTTTTTCTCTCCAGTGAATGCATGTGCTCTATGGCAAAAACCTTAACTAAATAAAAATGAAAAGAAATGGATTAGCTGGCGGCATGGTGGTTAAGGAAGTTTGAGCTGGAGTTCACTTAACTGACTGCATAGTTCAAGTCCCAGACCCAGCAGCTTGAAAAACACACTAGGCACATGTGTATGTGTGCCCAAAATTCCAAAAGGAGAAATGGTGAAGGGATATATATATATATACACACACACACACACACACACACACACACACATATCTGGCATGAGCCCTCTAGCAAATCAAAAAAAAGAAAAAAAAGAATAGGGGAAAAAAAAAAAAAAACACCACACCAACAACAATCATAGCCTCAGAACTCTGATATATGGCAAATAGGTAAATAAGTAAATGCATACATAAGTTGTGTTCAGTACTTTTTCCAAGAGGCTAGCCTAAAGACAACAACAATCTAACTTTATTCAATGCAGTAACTCTAGTGGTAAGGAGGGCTGGAAATATTACATAAAACACATGCCAGACAAAAAAGAGCTAAGACCTTGTCTTCCACAATGAGAAGACAAACGACAAAGCTTAAAAACAACAACAACAAGAAACAACACAATATGAGCAGGCAATTTAGAGATATTAGAAGCAAACACTAAGAGAACCTGCTACAGCTGAAAATTGCTGGTTACAGGGGTAGAGAAATGGCAGGTAGGAAACGGCTGATTCTCTGAACCTATAGACAAAAGATTCTTGAAGCTATATGAATGTATAACTTAAAATTTCTTTAAAATGACAAGTATGACAGGACAAAAATAAAGTATTACTGGAGCTGAAGTAGAAATCACGGAGAGCTGAGGAATGGGGCAGCAGTGCTGACAATGAGTGGGTGTGGCCAGTGTCATGAGGAGCTTGGACTTCATTCAGCAGCAGATGGGAAGCCAGTGAGGAATTTTTAGCAGAGAAAAGATGGCTAGATTTGCATTTCAGATTAATTACTCTGGCTGCACTGTGGTGGACAGACTGGAAAGGAACCACAACAGACTACCCAATTAGGAAGCTATTCCAGGAGCACAGGGAGAGATGAAGAAAGGCCTCCATAAGAAAGATGAGAGACAGGCTGAAGAATTTTTTCAGCTGGTAACTACCTAGATGTAAGTGAGATGACGCACAAGTTTCTTCTGGCTTTAAATTCCATGTGGTGAAGGTGTGATGCCTTAAAATGGGAGGAGCAGCAGGTATGGAGGGAAGTCAAGGAGTTCAGATTAGACATACAGAGTTTCACTGCGGGACTTTAACAAGCAGCTGGAGACCCAGAAGTCAACAGCTTTTGAGAAGTGAATAAAATGATGGTATGACACGTCAAAACAGAAGGTGAACAAAGGTAAGTTATCGAAGACCAGGAAGATATGATGACTAGACAGGGGGAGAGGGCCACAAAAAACATGAAAAAGATTCAAAGCTCATTAGGATACTTTAATGTCACAGAAGCTAAATGAGTGTTTCAAAAAGAAGAGAGAAGTACCAGCAGATGGTGTAATGGTTACGTTGCTGAACTGCCAGACACGGTCAACCGCGGTTTGAGTCCTGGACCTGATGGCTTAAAACTCAAGTTCATGGGACGGGCCAGCAGGTGGCATGGTGGTTAAGGGCACTGAACTCCCACAAGGCCAACTGCAATTGAGTCCTGGACTTGGTAAGGTTTGCTTTCTCACTTTCCTCTCTTTCTCTCTCTCTCTCATTCTCCCTCTCCCTCTCTGATCAAATTAAAATAAATGAATAAATTCAGTTAAATAATTCTTTTTAAAAAAAAAAGTTCATGGGAAATGAGTATTATGGCCTCCACTATGGAGGTCAGCAGGTAGTGTGGTGGTTAAGGCACTGGATTTACACATGGCCAACCATGGTTTGCGTTCCAGACCTAGTGATTTGCTTTTTCACTTTGCCTTTTTCTGTCTCTCTCTGGTCAAATTAAAAATAATAATAAAAACATTAAACAATTTTTTAAATTATGCATGGGTTTCAAAATTTTTTGAACCAAAATAAAATTGTACTTTAATTCCATTTATCCAGAAACTCTTTTTTTAAAGAATTATTTTATTTAACTTTATTTATTATTGTTATTATTATTATTATTATTTTCCAGTTTGATCAGAGAGAGCGAGCGAGCGAGTCAGAGTCAGAAAGCAAGCCACCAGGTCCAAGACTTGAACCTTGGTTGGCCATGTGGGAGTCTAGCGCCTTTAATCACCACGCCACCTGCCAGTCCCTTTTTTTGTTTGTTTTGAAAGATTTTTGCTTTAGGGTGCATGCACTTGCCAGAGAGACAGAGACTGAAAGTGATAAATCACAACCCCCCCAGGGGGGTTGGCCTCACCGCAATCCCTTCTCCTCCATTTTCCTCTTGGGTTCTTGGGCACACATACATGTGCCTGGCATGAGTTTAAGCCACTGGATCCAGGACTCAAACCATAGTCGACTATGTGGAGTCCGTGATGTAACCATTATGTCATCTGCTGGTCCCTCATCCACAAACTTTTAAAAGTATCCCTGTGTATCATATTTTGATAGAGCAG